CGGCGGGGCCGGAGCAGGCGTCGGGGGCCACGCTGCAGAAGCTGCTGTCCTACACCAAGCCCGACCTGGCCTTCCTGGTGGCGGCCTCCTTCTTCCTGATCATCGCGGCTCTGGGTAAGTGCGCACCCTCGGGCCTGGCGGGCACCCAGGAAATGGACTTTTTACACCTGTGATGCCTCCTCTTTCCTCTCAAATTTTAGCATTTACTTACATGGTTCAAACACCAAACTGACATGAAAAGGTAAACACAGAGTTTCATTCCCAATGCTGCCTCTGACTGCCCTGAGCCCCAGAGCTAGCTAGAGGAAAAGGTTCCGGAATCTTCCAAGTGGGCAGGAAAACACTTAACTCGTAGATTCATTACCCGTATATGCTCCCAGTGTTTCCTCGTGCAGCTACAGACAGATAAGAACACCAACACGTTACTCGCTCCACCTCTCACAACGTTTTGTGTCTTGCTTTTTTCACTTAGCAATATATTCTGGAATTTTCCAATCACTATCTCGTTCTTTTATTTGGCTGCATACTAGTCCACTGTGTGGTCACACCATCATTATTTAGTTGGTTCTCCTGCGGTTGGACTCTTGGGTGGTTTTGAGTCTTTTTCTCTTACAAGAAGTAGCCCTGTTCATGCACATTTCCTATAAATGTGGGTATAAATAGGATAAATTCCTGGAAGTGGGAGCTCTGAGTCCAAGCATTTTTTGTCACGAAGCAGAATAGAAAAAAGGCCGTTCGAGGAGGTTGTCTGCGGTGAGATTAAGTATTGTTTCGTGGAACTTTTGTTTCAGCTATGTGTGCCCGTGTGATGTAAAATGTATTTGCTACTGTTGGTCCAGACAGCTCGAAAGCCACACTCCAGCAAGGCCTGGGTACAAGCCCCGTCTTTTTATTTTTATTTATTTATTTATGTTTGTTTGTTTATTTGAGAGAGAGAAAGGAAGGGGGGAGAGAGAGAAGCTTTGATGTCTTGTTCCACTTATTTATCATTCATTGGTTGATTGGTGTATGTACCCTGACCGGGGATTGAACCCACAGCTGTGGTGTATTGGGAGGAGGCTCTAACCAGCTGAGCTACCCAGTCTTGCTCCTTCCCTGGCTTTGTGATTGTGGGCAAGTCATCGAACACATCAGAGCCCCTCCTTCTTCTTGTTTGGAGGAGGGATTGTTAGTGTCCCTGTTTCAAGATGTTGTAAAGCTGGAATAAAAACAGGAAAAGGTCAAGTTCAAAGCCCAGGATGGCACGGTAGGTGCTCAGGAATGTTGGTTGTGATGAGTCATTACCGGTTCAACTCACAGGGACAAAGTCTGGGAGTGGCCACAAGCCAGAGTATTCCCAGAGAGGACAGGCAAAGCCCAGAGGTGGCGCGGCCCTCCAGCCCCCTCCCTCTTACTGTCCACCCTCCGTCCTCTCAGTCCCGGCCCCTTAACCGCTGTGTGATTTAGGCAAGTTACTTAACCTCTCTGTCTCAGACTCGTCATCTGTAAAATGGGATAACAGTACCCATCACACTGGGGCGTGCGAGGGTCAGCGAGTTAATAGATTGAGACACCTCGGACAGCTCCTGCACAGGGAAAGCTCCCAGTAAATATTAACACCTGTGAGTATGGGGACCACCCTTTTTTCTTTAAAATATATTTTTATTGATATCAGAGAGGAAGGGAGAGGGAGAGATAGAAACATCAGTGATGAGAGAGGATCATTGATCGGCTGCCTCTTGCACTCCCCCACAACTGGGGATCAAGCGCACAACCCAAGCACGTGCCCTTGACGGGGAACTGAACCGTGACTTCCTGGTTCATAGGTCAACGCTCCACCACTGAGGCC